AAGGAAGTGGGTCAGCAAAAGAAAGGAAGAGGGTCCTGGATTAACCCAACGGGCATGGGCGTGGCGGAGACTGTGAGGGTGCTGCAGGATGGAGTGTGGTTCCAATCTACTGTTAGGATTGCTGTGAGCAGTGGGTACACTGTGACGGCTGGCACCTAACAATCCACTTCAAGCATTAAAATATGAACAATGAACTGCTTTGGCTAAAAAGACAGCTCCAACTTTTCATCTTCTTCACTCGAGAAAATTATAGCCCACCTCCAGCGGGTCCATTTCAGCAGAGTATCAGCATCTTTAATGAAGTCAGGGCAGTGATTATCATTACAGTGCTGCCGCCTTGTCAAAGTTCGCCAACATCACTTCACTTTTACAAAAGACCTACATTAGTATCCATTTTGATGAGTTGAAAAAAAATCAAAGAATTGCTTTGACAAAATGCAAAGCTACCATTGAGCATCTGTTTTGCAGTGAGCAGGTTAAGAGGCAATACACTCCCTGCATTGTCACCAAATCCCTTCCCCTTCCCAGGAACTACGCTCCGCAACTCAGCTTCAAGCCATCTTATTTGTGAACACTATACGTGTTATTCTAGTCTTCATATGTTATTTGGTATTATTTGCTGGCTATTTGGGGTCTAGGAATGTTCAACAGTTGTTCCATAAGAATTATGGCAACTCCTCCTTCAATTTATGCCATTTCAGCTTAGGAAAGGTTTTCATAGGCATACTTTATTTTTGGATAGGAGAGGAAACTTGGACTTTTAATTATATTGTTTTTATCATGGTTGTAAATTATTAATGCCTTTAAGTCCACATATACAGGGGAAATGCATAACTACGCATATATTTTTAATCTTTGTTTTGTATTGATCACTTAGAAACAAATTTTAAAATATTGGGTAGAGGGGAGCTCTGGTGGCCTAGTGGCAAGAAGCTGCAACTACAATCCCAGAGGTGCACGGTTCGAATCCACCAGATGCTCTACCGGGGAAGGAGGGGCAATCTCCTCCTGTACCAGTCAGATCTGATTTGATGGTACATGCACACAAAAATAATAAAATTAAAACAAAAACACACACAAAAAAAATATTGGGTAGAAGTCTCTACTTGGGAATTACTGCATTTAAACAATTATCGATTTGAAAAAGCAATGTGCCAGTGACAGCAATATAGCCTCTTTTCAATTCTAATTTGTCTGTTCTCTTGGGCCTATTTATAGAACAGATGAGACATATGGCTTTACTTTTTATGACCTTAATTCCAAGTTTCCCTTTATTTGTTCATAATTGTTACATCAAAATATACAGGCAAGCAAAACTCAACTGCAACAAAATCTGCCTTCTTGGAAACAGTTTGGAGACCTTACACCCAAAGATGACTTTGTTTCTTTATAAACCAACTTCTCCGATACATATGTTATTAGTGCAAACAAAAATGTTTCCAGTGAATGAACAAAAATTAAACTGACACCACAAATTTTGATATTCTGAAGCTCTGGAACTCAAGTTCAAAGGAAGCACCCTCCAACAACAGTAACAAAACAAATCAAGATGATCTTGGGCAGTGAAGAAAGGCAGGATCCAAGAAAGGCCAGGCTGCGAGGTGATGATGTATCAGGAAGTGATGAGGCCATCAGCAACTTTCTGCACAGAAGCCTCTGAAGCAGCAGAGCTCAGCGGTACATGCTACCTTGGTTCTCTCCTCTGGGTCCCCCCTCACTTGGACTCTTAAACCTCTTTAAGACATCATCCACCTCCTCCAGATCTAACTGGGACTTCAGGAGATGAGTGGGGTGTAAATTCAGAGATTCTGGCTTCAAGCAAAGGGCCCTATTAACAGAAAACAGGTGGGGAGAAGAAAACAAAGATATAAAGGAAGAAATTATTTATAAACACACAAGCTTTGGGGAACGTGGGGAGAAGGTAAGAAATGACAACTTAAATCAGAAATAAATTACTGTTGGGAGCAATGCCTTGATTAAATAGTGGGGAAAGTGAGATCTCCTATCAATTCATACATCAATTCCAGCTCACTGAGAGCCAACATGATGGACTCAAACTGTCACACGGGGCTTACTCACTAAAGCTGCAATTTTTATGGGAGCAGAGCATCAGCTTTTTCCTCCCAAGGAGCTGCTTTAATTGCCATGGAGTTGAAACGGAGTGATCATATGGCCTTTGGGTTAGTAGTGGGACTCCCTAAGGACTATGCCAGCTGCTACTGATCTCTTAGGTCCTTTCACAGATCAATAAGCACCTCCTCGACACTTCACATTCTAGAGCTAAGGAAGGCCACATTAGCAGTCAAAACTTAAACAAAAAAAAAAAAGAACACAACAAAACTTCAAAACTCAGAGCTGACCCCATGGATGGGTATTAAGAAGTTGTAAATAGCACAGGAGGAAACAGCCCAACTTTTTCCTTCAGAGCAGCTGTGGTGAATTTCCATAATAAAAGAAAGCCAAAAAAGTAACAAGTATTACCTGTAACTAAATGAAACCGGTAGTAGAAAAATGAAACAATGTCTTACAAAGAAACAAAATCCCCAACTCCCATATTTACAGTCATGTAGTCAAACATGTCCTGATTCCCTTTTAAGTAAATGTCAGGGAAACCAGCTCCTACTTTCCTATGGTTGATGACACTCCAGCATGAAAAGATGAGCTAAAAAAAAAAAAAAAAGGCAGACAAAATCTTCCGGATGGATGGGAGGTGTGGAATTTTTAAGATGAGAAAAACTTGTACCAAGTTTCACATAAAAATGGATTTTAGACCACCTAAGAAACATGGCGAATGAGACAGTGGTAGGGCATGAAAAATTCACTTACATAACTCAGGACTTTCCAGTTCCACTATTTAATCTTCACAATGGCCCTTTAGAGAGGTAGGATCATTCCATTTAACCAACAAGGAAACTTAAGAAGATTTTTTTAAAACTTGCCCAAGTCTTACGTCTAAGTGACAGGCGCAATGGAGGCACTTTGGCTCTTCATTCCGCTGCAAGTAGTGCTGACACTACTGGTAGCAGTACTCTTACTAATACTACTGTAGACTGCATGCCTGTGATTAAGTACTTTTACTCATTCTCTGAATACTCACACCTCTAACGATTACAAGGTGGGAAATCCAGGCGTTATAGAAACGTGGCCAAGATGATTCAAGGTGCAAGGCGGATGTGTGGGGATTTGTGCCCAGTGGCTTGTCACTCCCGCCACAACCCACCTGTGATTCTTTGCCCTCAACCAGGTCAAGTGCCATCTCTCCTGGGAACCCCAACACCTCCTCATTCCAGCCTCGAGCCTGACCTCAGAGATGCTTTGATCCAGACTGCGTTCTACCGCCCCGCACCCGCTCCCTGAGCTGGTCCCGGGCAAGGTTCTCTCACCAGGTGGGAGTCGAGGGACCCTCGCAATCTTGTTGGTGATCTCTGCAGTGAGCACCCCGAAGTCCTGCTCATAGCCTTCGAAATCGGACGACATGGCAGCTCCAGAAAGACAGGCCCGGGCCGAAGCCAAGGTCGGGCCAGAAACCGCAGGGGGCAGAGGACAGACAGGTAGAGAGACCCCAGGATCGCCTTCAAGAGCAGGGGAGAACCGGGGACAGCTCCCAGGCCAGCGTCTTCCTGGTTGTCCGTTGCAATTGAGGTCCTCCGGAACTCAGCAAGGGGAGTTTTTTCTTTTCCGCTGAGACTTCGGAGTTAAGCAATCAGAAAAGAAAATAAACCTCTTTGCTTTGTTACTCTTTAAGCCAAAGAAAATCTGCGTGTTTCTAGGGCTCACAGAAAGTATTTTGCCCCGTTCTGGGAGGCGGTCCAGGTTCCCAAGCTACAGGTCACAGCAGCTTGCTTCCGTGGGGGACGTTTAAAAGGGCGAACCTCCCGGAAGTGGCTGTGGCCGCGGCTGCGCGCCGGGCCCGAGCGGGAGAGTGTCCTGCGCGGGCGGAGGACGCCCGGGGTGGAGCAGGTGCCGGACTTCAGCCCGTAGCCATCAGGGTTGGCTTTCTGCTCGTCCGGGACCGAGGGACCCACGGCCAAGTGCTCCGGAGCGAAGAGAATCTGTTCCGGGTGAGCCCAGGCCACCCCGGAAATGCGATGGCCGAGGAGCGGGCACCGGGGACGCGATCGAGGTGGGAGTCCCGGCTGGGGGTGCAGCCATGGTGTAGGGGGTCAGGTCCGGAGGAATCTCCAGAGTGTGATCCCCCTTCACTTAACCGGCATGTTCCTGTCCACATGGGGCTTTCTGAACTCCGCGCTCCCTGCGGTGCGCGGGAAACCGAGGCACAAGGGGAGGCATTTGGTGCTGGGGCATCTCTGCTGCCCCATCTGTGCCCAGATCTCCCTCGGACTCGCTCCTGTCCGCTCAGAAAAGAGCCTTTCTCCAGTCTCCCCAGCGCTCCCTGCTTGCTTCCTGTTGCCTCGCTCCTGCAGGCACTTTCTCATTCATGTGCCTTCCTCTTTACTCGCTCGCTCATTCATGAGTTCACACATCTTTACACGCCCCACTCTTAGGTTTTAAGGGTAACAGGAGGCAAAAGGCATCGACCGCGGGCTGGTGTCTGGCTTTTAATTAGACTTAATTGCAACAATTTGGGGGAGGGAAAGCGGTTCGTACTGGAGAGGAAATCCAACCACTTGGGTTTCTAGTCTCTAAACAGCGAGCCTGGATTACATCATCCTTATCTTCATCCATCCCCGCTCTAACCTTGAACTATTCTGATACAGTGGAAAGATAAACACAGTTCCCTGACAAAGTAGGAATAAAGGAATAAAAAAAAAAAAACCCAAAAAAAACCCTAAGATTGTATTTACTACATTCATCATTTTGCACTTTAGCTTTTAACTCTATCCTGGATATCAGTGAAAATTCTTTTGGACATCTTCCAAGATACTCAGACTGTGTAACAGAGAACACTTGTAAGACTGTACTGTTTAGGTAATTATTGGAATTCACAAGTTAATAAAACATTTTTTCACTGACATTTCCGATTTTGGCTTTTTTTTTAGGTTGAGTTTCAAATCAAGCCAGTGGTTTAAGATAAAGAGCGCTGGATGTTGAACAGTGAAGATGACATACTCTTTGTTAACATCCTTGAAAGTATGACAGTCGAGGAAGACATGTGGACGTGTGGCATGTGGAAATGCATGCACAGAAAAAGAAAATCTGTCATTCTTTAAAAAGAGGAAGGCATCCTTCCACGCCAAAATGGGCACATTCTGCTCGATAATCAAGTTTGAAAATCTCCAAGAATTAAAGAGACTCTGTCACTGGGGTCCCATCATAGCCCTTGGTGTTATAGCAATATGTTCTGTGATGGCCATGATTGACTCTGTCTTGTGGTATTGGCCCTTACATACCACTGGAGGAAGTGTGAATTTCATCATGTTGATTAATTGGACAATCATGATTCTTTATAATTACTTCAACGCCATGTTTGTGGGGCCTGGCTTTGTCCCTCTGGGATGGAAACCGGTAAGAAAAATACCTTTTACACTCATGAGCTCCAGTGATAATCATATACTTAGTTGTTGCCTTCTCTGCTATCCAGTAGCTTCCGACAGCCTGAAATTAGAATATTGTTCCTATTCTCCCTTGTCAACTCTCAATAGCCAACACTTTCCATTTATGATCATGCTGTCATTGTTGTGTTCATTGGAGTTGAAATCGCCCCAAAGCTGACTCTCTGGTGGGTTTTTCAGAGCTTCAGATAGGGTCTGCCATTTTTTGATCATAGAGCACGTTTTGTCACACATAAGTTGCATCCCATGGAAGTTGATGAAGAAGCAGTTTTTGCCTCGAACATCTTCAGTAATTAGCTTGACTTTCTTAAATGAATCCTCATCGTTTTGTAAATCAGCCCAGCACACTTCAAAAACACGATCCTTGAGTCCATCCATGAGATGCAGTCTTGGTTCCTTGAGTTCTTGAGACTAGTGTCTTCCCAATATTTCTTATATTGAACATAGTGGGTGCCTATAATATTTATCTTTGGTGCCTATACATCATACCAGGCTTTCTTAGAAAATGGATCAATCACTTTCTTTTTGACTCCTCTTTTGCTACCTGTGTAAGGTGCTTGCTATTGCTGACGGCCATAGTGATGCTCAGAGAGCCAAAAAGGGAAATTATTAAAATTTGAAAATTATTAAAGATTTTTAAAGTCTGGGAAACACTGGCATATCATATGTGCATTGGACTCTTCAAAGTGAATACAGAGATGAGTAAGAGAATTCATACTGAAAAGTAATATAGGAGAACAAAGAAAAGGATTGTTCAGAGCTGGAAAAGAGAGTGTGTTAGGTACCTTTGAAGTGAGGAAGAGTTTGATCTTTTTCAGCTGGAAACCTGAGAGAGGAGTGGAAATTTCCATAGGCTATAGGAAAGAGAATGATAGTAGGACACATTCACAGACTTCAACAGCCTAGATTATGTAGGATTGACATGACTCAAAGGAAGACATTATGGGCAGCACCATGTACACATCTGACATAATCAGAATCATATTCTATGAATATTTTTCTGATAATAGATGGTTTGAAGTAAGAACTACAGTAAAAAAAAATATTGGATAGGAAGTAATTAAAATGATCCAAGAGAAGGGAGGTAGTGGTAAAGTTAAAAAGGGGACATATTTCAGAAAAAGTGTCGATTCAAATGTACAGATACTTACTCTGAAATACCTGCCATGCTGTCAGCTAACTTTTTCTGAATTGTTCCCATTCTACTAAGATTTAGTGTAAGTAAAATAACTAGACTCATTAACACCGGAAAGTACTTCTTTGTAAGACCTGACTTGTTACTACTTAGAATTAGATAGCTGATATATTTTTTTGTTTATATTTTACTACCAAGGACAATTCTCAGGATAGTATGTACCTCCAGTATTGTAAAGTCTGCCAAGCATACAAGGCACCTCGTTCGCATCACTGCAGAAAGTGCAACAGGTAGGTGGCACCTGTCTGTCTTTGCTCTTCTTTGCAGAGTGACCAGCGTGATTAGTTACTTTGTTCTTTGTGCTACTTCAGTCTTAGTTTATTGTATGCACATAGCAAGTCAGCAATGTGGCAACTCTTGTAATGGTCAAAACCCTAAATGTCTATAATTTCCATTTTATACTTAAATTAAGAATCCAAATGTTAAATAAATCTCATCCTCATCTCTTTGTTATCCAAAAGGAATTAATAAAAAAAAAAAATTACAGCTTTATTTTGCCTTACCATCAAGAATAGGGTAAGAAGTTAACATTATCAGATTTTGTTTTCCTGTTTTATTTATATCAGGATTGATTGTGTTGGTTTGTTGATTGCAGAACTGTTTTGAATTTGAAGCATAAAAGTGACCTGTTTTCTCATTATTTGTCTGATAGGCATGCATCTTAATATAAATTTAATTAAATAATCTGGTTACCGTTTGCCACAAGTGTCCTGTCTTAATGAAACAATTTGAATCTGTATTTAAAAAACATGTGAAGTAATCTAGAACCTTTAATGAACCCTTACATGCACTAATTCATCAGACTTTCATGCTCAGAATTTTGACATTTCAGGGACCCATTAAAGACAGTGTTTACATTGAGGCCAGACAATGATCTAGCAGCAGTAAGGAAAGGAAACACAGTAGAAGTTTGCTTATTATACCACGTGTTACATTCCTGAGGTAGCTTGCTACGCCCAGAGGTTCCACATCTAAAGGAAACTGTGGGACCAGGAAGGAAGGTATGTTACAAGCTTCTGTTTACTTGGCCTCATCACCCGGAGTGCGGGTTTAGGAGTAATTTTGTTGAGTCTCTATTATTTTCCAATTCAGTCACTGAGTCTCAGAGCTAGTAAAACTGAAAACCAAGCTCATTATAGGGAGCCTCTCACTTCTCTAAGGGCCCCAAAACTTCTTAAAACAAGGTTGCTTGTTGCAGATATCTTTTCTCCAGAAGCTTTTTCAAAGCCTAATGTCTGCTGTTTAGAACTTTAAGGGAGCCACTGTTGATAATTTTTTTTAGAGATTTTTTTTTCTTTCTTCTGTGATTAATGGATAAACTATCTTATTTGCTTATCTTTTGAAGATTAAAGTTATTTAACGTAAACCTTTTCTGCATCTTGTCTGATACAAATTTTTCTTGTTAGATGTGTTATGAAGATGGACCATCATTGTCCTTGGATCAATAACTGTTGTGGCTACCAAAATCATGCATCGTTTACACTGTTTCTGCTTTTAGCCCCGCTCGGTTGTATTCATGCTGCTTTTATTTTTGTTATGACGATGTACACGCAGCTGTATAATCGGGTAAGTGGAAATATTTGTTATGAACATATTCATGCTAGGTTAAATAGTAGTTACCAAGATTGTTTATGAGGGGTCTTAGGGAAATAAGACTTCTGATTTGGGTGGGGAAAGAGAACTTCGCTTTACCTCTCTGTGGGTTCTTTCATGAAAAGCATTACGACTTGGTCTTTAAAGTGAAAAAAGAGTATGTCTTCTGGATTCTCACTGGCTGGAGCCCAGCTCCACCCTGAAACACATGAATCCTTGTAAATAGAAATTGGCTCCTCTGCAATATGCTTGGAGCCTCCCGTTACATGTGATAATTGAAGTTAATGAATTCTCTTAGTATGTGTGTGGTTGTGTGTACAAACAGAGGGCCAGCGAAGGAGAGGATGGCCCTCAGTGAGATGGGCTGACACAGTCCGCGGCGCCAGCAGTGGGCTTCGGCCCCACAGAGACTGTGAGGATCATACAGGATCACGCAAGAATCTGATTGGCATAGAGTCACTGTGATTTGACACCTAATAAAATTGTTGAAACTGTGCTGCAATGCCAAAGACACAAGGTTCGAATCTACCAGCTGCTCCATGGGAGAAAGATGGATAATCTCTTTGCATGTGATTTACTGTCCCTGAAAACCCGCTGGACAGCAGCAGTAATGTTATGTGTCATTGAATTAGAACATATTTTAACGGACCTTCTAGCAGGTTTTCAGAGGCTGTACTCCTGCACAGCAGCTGGTGGGTTTGAACTGTGTGTCTTTGGATTAGCAGTATAGTTCCTTTCCACTAGACCATCAGAGACACATAATTATCTCTAATTATCTAAAAACATCCATCTCAGGGATAGAGACAGATTTTAGAGCGGTGGGGAGAAAGGTAGATTTGAACTGCAGCCTTTTGGTTAGGAGTGCAACACACTGGACAACACCACCGGTGCAAACAATAGATTAGACACAACGAATGTTGGTGTGCAGCGTTCTTCATTAGCCCAATGACGCGTGGTCTTCAATTTTTCAAGGAAAATCTAAATCTTGGTTATTATATGAAATCTCCTGTTTTCAAATATTAGTACCAATTTTAAAAGCATTGTACCAGCAATGCAGTAGACATCCAGTGTTCACACTTGGCCTTCGTTTTACCACTTCTAACCTCTGGTTGTGGGACATAATGAAAGTAACAGCAATGCTGTTACAATGAGGCTACATTTGTTGCTGTGGAAGATTGCTGAAGACGTAGAAAGTGAGGAGAAGAGACATAGTTACCATTTCAGCAAGTGACCAGTGTTGCTCCTGCGTTTTCATTTTGCCTGCTCAGATACTCAGAGAACAACAAAGTACAAAGTAACCTTTGGGAGGAACTAAAATGGCACATGGATAGGAGCATAGGCCAGGGTATTACCTGGAAAGCCCTGTGATTGCCCCACTTTGGTCACCGTGGCAGGTGGCCAGTGTCTTGCTGGCCAGGCCTGTCTCATGCACTGCTGGTCGGGCCGCCCCCACAGCAGAGTAGCGCAGCTCTGCTTTTGTTTGCAGCTCTCCTTTGGCTGGAACACGGTGAAGATTGACATGAGTGCAGCCCGGAGGGATCCTCTTCCAATCGTTCCGTTTGGATTAGCTGCATTTGCTGCCACCTTGTTTGCTCTGGGATTAGCAATCGGAACCACCATCGCTGTTGGGATGCTGTTTTTCATCCAGGTAAATTCCTTTCAGTTACCTCTCACTAAAAACTGTCCAGTTATTGAGGCAAATTGTATCAAGAAGGAGACAAACCCACTTTGAAGCTTTGAGTATGAAGTAGAAAGGACACTGGCTTATTCTATCTACATAATGACCTTGATCTTCTCAGTGCTAGTTAGATAATTGAAGTAACTTTCCCAGGATGTCGAGTTAATTTTTATTCCGCTTTAAAATGTTAATGTAGGATTGTGTAGTGCTTTATAATCAAGAGCTGCTTTCTTATGTTTGTAGTTTCTCTTGATCTACACACACACCCTGAGAGAAGACCGGAAAGGACCTGATTGTTTCCCTTTCTGAATATGAGTGTTTCATTCTCCAGGTGCCTAAATGACTTACCCAAGGTGACACATAGTCATATGTGGCTAACATTTACTGAGTACGGATACGTAAGACACTGTTTGAGGCACTTGGTATGTGTCAGAGCATTTAATTTCCATAACCAGCCTATTGTTGGGCTTTTTGAGGGCTTTCTAGGGCCTCCACTGTGGTGAATTACTCTATTTCCTGAGGATACAATAATGAAAATGAAGAGGCACTTCTTTGAGAACTCATAGTTTTTGTGTACACAAACAGTTAAAACAGGGTATCAAAGCCAGATTCTGACTTTGTATAGTAACCCTGTAGGTCAAGGTCAACTCTTCCATCGGGTTCCCAAGACTGTAAATCCTGACACAAGCAGACAGCCCTGTCCTTTTCCACTGCTGCTGCAGGTGGAGTTGAAGCACCACTCTTTTTATTAGTAGCTGAACGTTTAAGCACTATGCCACAAGAACGCCTATTATAGAAATGTCTGTGAAGTGCTGTGCGGAACAGAAGCACTTCTTTCGACCCATTTTTTCGATTATTCATCACTGAAGGCGTGCTGTAGGCCGGGCATTGGGCTCAGCCCTCAGGATGTATATGGTGAGCACTCCCCAGTCCCGTGATTTGCATTGTGCCATGCTGTCTCTGTGAACCCACAGCCAGACTTGAAGGAAATGAAGAACTCCCATAATTGGGAATACTGGGTGTCGGGGCCCTTTCACTCACCCAGCCCCTTTTGAATTCTTGATTATAAACTAAGCTAGTTGTTGTAGGCTTTATAATTTTCTAGTAGTCTGTGAACAATTTCAGAGCATTTCTCCTGGGCCTATAATTGGGAATTATATTAAAAATAAGCTAAAAATCCTATAAACTAAGGGCCTACATAAATTAATCTATACAGTTGCAAAATCAAATGAAAACAATATCTTTTATGCTCTACAGCAAATAGGAAATACCTAGACTAGATTCCTCTAATGAGTCTCTGCGGTTTGTAATATGTTAGTCATCGTTTAAGGTGAATTAAAAATAGTGAGAAGAGACTTTAATAGCAAAATACACATAATTACTAATGAGATTATCTAGTTGTTTTATGATCTGTCAGAATCTCACTCCGAAATAATATCTGAGATGTGAAATATTACCTGAAATGGCGATTTTACTAAACAAGCAGATTCCGGTTGGGTTGTGGTTGGTGTGATCACCTTCAGGGAGAGGCCCTGTGGTGCTGCAGGTCAGAGTCATGTACCGTCTCTGTGCCCCGCATCGCTCCGTCCAACCGGTGTCTCTTCATCTCTGTTATGTCTTAATTCTGCAATGGAGCTGATTCTAAATGAACTGAAGCCACATGAAATTTTATTCTCTCTCATTTAATTTCCAGTTGAAAATAATTCTCAGAAACAAAACGTCTATTGAATCATGGATTGAAGAGAAGGTAAATTTTAAGAATTTATTCTTTTAGTCATAAAGTATTGATTCATTAATGGACCATATTAGCTGATAAATGTTGCAGAGTGAAAACTTTGCTCTCAAATTTGACTTCCTTAAGTTGTTTACATGCCACATTTTGCTTAAGTTGAGTTTAACGTAACTTACAGAAGTATATTTCTCATTACAGTCTGAGTTGCTGAAGAGCCTCTACGTCACGTGGTCAGCCATCTGGCCATTATCTCTGAGTCTGGAGAAGTTGGCCCATTTGAAGCTAGCATCGTTTTTTTAGTGCTTTATTTATTTAAGGATTAAGCATTTCTTTTTCTTTAAAGCTCTGTACTCTTCTGGCAAAGTTGGCCTTACTTTGTTTTTTTGACACATTTTACTGCGATTGAGTAAAAGTTGTCACATTATATTCATTTGCTTGTCAACGGTTTACACGCATTTTGTTTTATGACGTAAGTTGCAGTTCCCTCAAAGTAAAAAACAAAACACCACCACTCTTGTAGCTTCTTGCCTGGGTTTTCCACTTCTGTTTACCCATCTTTCCTGCCCCTTCCTGCCTTCTGAACTTTCTTTTTTTTTTGGCAAACGCTGTCCTTCTGGCCTCGTAACATTGATTGTTTTGAGAAGTGTATTCCTCATGGGTCTTGCTGTTCTCTTTGTAGGCCTGTCTAGTGAGTGACCGGAAGGTGATCATGCGGGGGGAGTTAGTTCAGATTTGAAGTTTGTCTGAGGGCCTGGCCACAGTCCAGCAGTCTCTATCAGACCACTAAGTCTTCCGTATGGTTTTAACTTTTATTCCTCATTTTTCTCCTGGTGTGTCTGGGAATCTCACGTTGTGATCCCAGTCAGAGCAGATGGTAGTGACTGCCAGGCACTGCTTGATTCTTCCGGTCTCTTGCTGGGGGAGGCTGTGGTTCATGTGGTCACAATGCTTTTGGACTAATTATTTCCTTGAGTCTTTCATTTTCTTCACTCTTCCTTGCTTTGCATGGGTAAAGAGCAGTAGTTGTATCTTAGACGACTTATTTGCACTGTAGACTTCGCGTAAGTCTTATGTTCAGCCTGCTTCAGACCTCACAGTCTCCACACTTGATACCCAGTCATTCCACATTGTCGATATGGGCACAGGCATTGCTGTCCAGACAGAGTCAGCTCATAGCCGGTTTCTGGAGCTGCAGATATCATGGGAGGAGATTGCCCATCATTCTCCTGTGGAGCCACTGGTAGCTTTGAACCACTGGGGAGACACAGCCTTTGGGTTAGCAGTGCAGCTCCCCATGGTCTACACCGCCAGAGCTCCCCACGATGTTTATAATGCATTTCAAGTTTCTGCATCTTTGCACACATCATTTCCTGTACCCTAAAGAGTCTTCCTTTTTGCCTGTTTTCTTGACCGTAAAGACTTAGTTTATGTGAAATTTATTCAAGGGCTCTTCTCTGATCTTTCCTAGACTAATCAAGTATTTCTGTTTCTCGTCCCCTAGTCTCCACCGTATTCCTCTGTCCTTTCTTACCATCTAGTATTGAGAATCCCCCAGTTTGACTGAATGCTCATTTTAGGCAAAGACCCAGTTCAAGTCACTTTTGTAAACAACTCTTCCCTTTATCATTTTTCTGTATAAATAGCCTAGATCTCTGTTCTCTGAGATTCATACTCCATTTTGAAGACTCCAGAGCTTTTTTTATGAGAAGGAAGAAGAAAGTAACCGTTACTATCTGGGTGTTGATAGGGTTGTACAATCGATCAGATTCATTCCAGCTTGACAGATCATTTCAGGAATAAGTAATATCACTTTATAAATAATTTCAGGAAACTGCCCCAAGGTATTACCCCCTGATAATAACATATTTCAAAATATCATTTCTTGTTAGCATAGAATTCTGACATTAGATTGACTTGTTTAGGCACTGAGCAAGACTTTTTATAAAATGCTGTGTATAACCCAGAAGTTATTTTTAAATTAACATTCTGTTGCAAAGCTTAAAGATTTGAATGAGTGATTTATTAAATTTGTAGAAGTTATTAGACATTGAAGACATAGAATAGATTTTAACTAGGTTGTCCAGTGTATGCTTTATAGTAGAAATAATTTATCTTTTTACCACTAGGTGTCAGTGGAACTTAAGAAATGTGAAGCCAATTTATTTCCTTAAGTCAATTAAGTAACAATTTAATTGCATAGGATATAATTTACGCAGTCTGAACATTTATGTAGAGTGTGTACATATAAATGCATATGTAAATGATTTTCTACGCATGTGTGATGATTAAAGATTTTAAAACCACATATAATGACATATTTCTTATCTGTCTGCTATTATTGTTGATTGCCATTGAGTCGAGGTCGACTCATAGCGACTCTACAAACAAAAGACCTACTGCCTTTCCATAGCTATCCTTGTTTCTCCAAGTTTATAGGGTTTCCAGAGGCATGTGGTTTAGGAATTGGATGCCACTCCTGCTTTCCAACTTATTTTACAACTGGGAGTTCCACCAAACACCGTCCACAGTCTTTAAAAAAAATATTTTGCATGAAACAGTCTGCCCTTCATGTCTCCTGGCTGTTTCCCATATGTCACTTCTACCCAGCAGGACAGTTCTTGAATGTGAATGTACCCCTTGAAACTGAACCTTCACTTTCTATTGAATCTGCTTAATAAGACTTTTTAAATGTTTCTTCCTAGACAGGCTCTGTCAGACATTTTCTGGATGATCAAATACAAGATTGGTGTTCAGTTTTAGGCCCTTCCCGTTTTATGATAAAGTGGTCCATCTCTTCTTTGCGCACAAACATTACAGCAAAGAGGAAGCCTTTTCTGTGAAGGGCACAAGTTTGAGACTGGTTATTAGTAACACACTACTTCAAGCCATGTAAGACAAAGATATTCACCATCTTCTATCTCTTACCCAGGCTAAAGATCGAATCCAATATTATCAGCTTGATGAAGTCTTTGTTTTTCCTTATGATTTGGGAAGTAGATGGAAGAACTTTAACCAAGTGTTTACGTGGTCGGGAGCCCCGGAAGGAGATGGCTTGGAGTGGCCTGTCCGACACGGCTGCCAGCAGTACAGCTTGACCGTGAGTGTTCTTTTCAGCCACACCTTCCATTGTGCCTTTTTCCCTTCCCTATGCCTTTTAGCATGTCTAGATGATTTTTTAAAATAACTTAATAAAAATTATTTCAAAGATAACAGCATCAATCTCAGAACTTAAACCATTCCTTAAATCACATCCCTCCCTATATTTACATCTCTGATTAACGTTCCATACCTGTGAGATAAAGTCTTGATTCTTTAATACAGTTTTTAAAAATATGGCCTAAACAACCCACCTTCCAGCTTACTTTCCAACAGGAATCCTCTTTTTCAACCAGGCAGGTTTGTGGCACTTACTACTCAGTGTCATGTGAATGTCTTACGGTTTCCTGTCACGTGACTATGCCCACCCTGCTTATTCTGGATCACGTGACCTCCCACCTCTTCATCAAGTACAGCCTCCTCTCTTGAGTCATCTGCACTTGGCACTTAATCATATGTTACAGTGTGGGAGCTCATGAAGGCTCCTATTTCCATGTCATCTTTATCGCACAACTTTAGAAGGTGCTAGAGCAGGGACCATGTGATGTAGCTGTTTTTCTTTATCTAATACAGTACTGTGTTGTTGTTGTTTTTTAATTAATTACTGAATAAATGGGGAAAAAAGTGAATTGTACTGTGACTGCTAGTCAAGATGAGTTTGCAGTTGGCCTGCCGTTTCTCTGAGGATTGATCTGAATCCCAGAGTCTTCACCTTAGCAACCAGCCTAGAAGGTGCATGAGGGCAGAGAGCATGTCTTCCATGTGCTGGGCTACAGTGGGAGCTCTCTGATTATACACAGATGAGATAATAGAGGGCGGATACTGAGAAGAAAGCCCCTTCAGCCTCTGTTTCTTAGACATCCACCTCCTTTCTGTGGGAGTAATTGTGTCTACTCTAAGTTAACAACAACGTGAAATGCTGTAAAATCAGGAGTTTTTTCTTGTCAGTTTTGATAGTAGGTGAGGGAAGGCTATTTTTTCAACAGTGAAATAATTGACTTAATTTTTTCCCTTTTGTATCTTCCAAACAGATAGAACAATTGAAACAGAAAGCAGACAAGAGAGTGAGAAGTGTAAGTTATTCTTTCACAATGATACCTTTTTCTTTTTTTAAATCAGGAATAAGTGAGATACTTCTCTGTAGGGTTTTTTTATTTGGCTTTGAATAGAATCCAAATGTTGGCTTTTATTAATGCCTTAATTCACAATTATTGGACTATGTCCTAACTCACATCACTTGTTTGCATTTGAATAGCTTTAACTGGAGATTGAGGGAGAATTTATTCAGTTTCTGTTGCTAACAAAAAATTATCCTTGGGGAGGGAAGGGAAGAAGAAAATGTATAACAATGAAGGTGGAAAAAATGTAAATTTTTTAAAAAAATTATCCTTAATACAGCTCGTTACTATGAAACTCTTCTTTGATAACTGCTGTAGAGTACCATGCCCAGCAGACACAGAGAGCTATGTAAACTTAAATTAATAAAATAAAGTTAAAGCATCAATTCTTAGTTGCATTAGCCACCTTTCCAATTCTCAGTAGCCATGTAACGTCTGGTGATGACTGCACTGGATGGCTCTGGTTCAGAACATGCTCACCCTTGTGGGAAGTTCAGTGGGGCAGCCCTGCTCTATAATTTAATCTTTCTCTACGTGGTAGGAATGAAGGGTGAAAAAACCATGCAAACAGGAATCATTATTACCTACTGGAAGGAGGATTGGCATCCACTTCCATAATAGCTTGCCTCCTATGAACCTGGAGAGAGGATGAAAGGCACCCAGGCATTGAGGACTCTCCTTCATAGGGTTGCTATGAGTCGCCTGCAACTCAGCGGCACTTAACAACAACAACAAGGGGATTGGGTGGATGGGGAGCTAGAAAAGTAGTTGACTTGTCACTGGGTTCTTGAAAACTCGGATATTACGGGTAAGTGCTCAAGTTGGTCTTCTTGTCACTAACAACAGGTTCGCTATAAAGTAATTCAGGATTATAGTGGGGCCTGCTGTCCTTTGAATAAAGGAATCAAAACCTTCTTCACAAGCCCCTGCACTGAAGAGCCTCGAATCAGGCTGCAGAAGGGGGAGTTCATTTTAGCTACAAGAGGCTTACGGTAAGTCATGTGATGTGATAACCTGAACATCTTTAATGGCAATATTGGCAGTTAGCCTAAAGAACCCTAACTCTCGATCTTTTAAATATTTCAGATACTGGTTGTACGGAGACAAAATTCTTGATGATTCCTTTGTAGAAGGTATGGAAATGGATATTTAAAGGACAAGTTTATTAAAAAGTTTTTCAGAATTGTTTACGAATAGCCTCTTGTAGACAGTCACGTTCAAATGCATTAGGGAACTGAAGAGAAGGGCAGGTCATTAAGGAGTGGAAGGAAAGCTCCTCACTTCTGTATTCCCTGTGGTTGTTCTGTAATCTCATTGCTCACCCCCCTGAGGGTTTTCAGAGGTTGGAAATCACGTGGGAGGAGACTGTCCATCCATCCTTGTCGGGAGCAGCGGGTGGATGCACAGAGTATGCCTTTGGGGTTGGCAGCTTGACTCCATAGGACCAAACCACCAGAGCTCCTCTATCCCCACAGCATTTGTAATTGTCAGGACTTTGTAATGATGGCTTACGTATAGTTCATAGTGACCCGGTGTCAGATGTCTGAGTGCTCTCCTCGTGGTATTAAAATCCCCAGCAGCCCTCAGAGATAGGTGCTGCCCTTTGCATTTTACTGCTGAGGGATCTGAAATGCAAAGAGGGTGAACAGCTTGCCCTAGGGCACCCATTGAAAACAGGTAAACCCACAAAAGCAGCCAAGCAGCCTGACCGCAGAGCCTGTGTGCTCACCCGCTGTGCTGGGTCGCTCCCCTCGACATGGGTTTTCATCTTAAGTGACTATAAAAACTAATAAAGGACTGGAACGTTGCTTTTGATTTAAGCGTGGAAGTAAAAATTAACCCAGGGTAGTCTTTTTTAAAAAAAAAAAAATACACCAGGTTAATCATAAGTCAACCCCATATTGTAGCTTCGGCAACCTTGATCTAGAAGTTTAGATGTTAGAAAACATCTAAAAAATATAATCACAAAAGCTGCAGGGAGATGTTTCCCTAGGGATGGTTGATATGCAGTGGTGTACCAGAAACTCCGCACGTGTTAGTGAATAACTAGTAAGTCCCCATGTCTCGGGTTGCTTAGTGGTAAGTTGTGTTGGCCCAGGGCACGTGATTCAAATCCACCAGCTTCTCTGCAGGAGAAAGATGGGCAGTCTCCTCCTGTACTGAAACCTGTTCTCGAGTCAGTGATGCGTCCTGACTTGGCAGTGCGTAACGGCAGTGGAGTCTTCATTTGAGGAGCGTCCTGAATCATGTAAAACCCTTCAGATACTAGAATTTGAGAAGTATCCATTTTTTTTAGATTATTTAAAAACTATATCACCTCCTCTTCTCCCCCTTCCCCCCACCGTGTTTAGGATAGTCCGTTAAAAAGGAAAAAGAAAATTCTAAAATGATTCACATAAAGTAACAGGTCTTGGGCCTCAGTGACATCACTGTTGCCCATCTGACTATCTTAAACCAAATCTCGTTTTTCTCCCTCAGGTGTTTCAAGAATACGGGGCTGGTTCCCTCGAAACTGTGTGGAAAAGTGCCCCTGTGATGGTGACACAAACCCGGCCCCCGAGGGTGAGAAGAAGAACAGATAGCCACTGCTGAAGGAAAATTATTCTTTACGCCCCTCCATTACTTGAAAATTGTACATATTACTAAAGAATTATGCAATGAGCCTACTCTGGGTAAGGTGTTCTTTTCCTCAAAGGTGCCCTCGTGCCATGACTTAAATCTCTTGGTTACCGTCTTGCAATGGAGAAGCCATCCTGCGTATGCCTTTGACTCCCTCCACTCCTCGCCACTCCCTCCCCCACAGAAGGGAAAGCACCTCCCCAGAAAGTCAGTCGCGTTTTCTCTAGGGTTTCCCTCCTCCGCACTGCACACTATGGGCCTCACCTGCAGATGTAGATTTTTCAGGGCCATCTGCATGTGATGCTGTTATTTAGTCTGTGGATTTTTCTTTTGTAATATTCTAGACACTGTAGAATTATGCTGTCCGATTCAATAGAAGCTCAGATTTTGTTACCTGTCTTTTAATAATGCCGATTTTGTCAAATAAAGATCAACAAGTGTTCTGTATAAATCATGTTTTGGACATAAAGCATTTTTCTTTTTGCTGACACAAAGAAAGCTTTGTCTTGGTTCTTCTTAGAAAAACTGCTGTTCAACAAACTGGTGAACCAAACTGGTGAACTCTCGAATGGTGAGTCTCCGTACACACAGCCCCTCACGGTGTGGACCACCTGGTGGCAGAGTTAAACACTTGAATCGGGAGTCTGCATGCACACAGCCGCTGACTGAGTGGACCACCTGGTGGCAGAGTTAAACACTTGACTGCTAGCCAGAGAGTTGACAGTTTGAAACTGCAAGGCTCTCTTCAGGGGAACTCAAAACTCAACTCATTGCTGTTGGGAAACCAACTCACAGCTGACTCCACAGTGGGTTTTCCGAGGCTGTAACTCTCCCAGGAGGAGATTACCAGCATTCTCCTGAGGAGCCACTTGGAGATTCGAACTGGCAGAGAGGGAGAGGTGCCGCCTTTGGTTAGCAGCACACTCCCCACAGATGGTGCCATCACAGCTCCCTCTGCAGGCAGAAGGTGTGGCAGTTTGCTTCCTTACAGATTACAGGCTAGGAAAGCCAGTGGGACATAGAATCTACTGTAAGTTGGAATGTACTCAGTGGAAATGTGTGCCATCAAGTTGGAAACCACTCATAGATGACCCTCCAGTGAGTTTTCAGAGGCAGTAAATCACACAGGAGGAGACTGTCCATCTTTCTCCCCTGGAGCTACTGGTGGGTTTGAACTGCATGCCTTGAGATTGCAATGCAGGTTCCTACCCTAGGCTGCCAGAGCTCCCCTCTCAAAAAGAATAGTGATGATAAATAGTATGTTGTTGTTATGTGCCGTCGAGTTGCCTGTGACTCATAGCGGCCCTATATCCAACAGCCCTAAACTCTGCTCTCTCCTGTGCTAATCACACCATCTCTGACACACCTGCCCCCATTATTCCCCCAGTCACTGAGTCAATCCATCTCATCGAGGGTCCTCCTCTCCTGTGCCCTCCCTAGCATGACGTCCCTCTCCAAGGACTGGTCCCTCCTTGCAACATGTCCAAAGTATGTCAGACGAAGTATTGTCAAAAACCCTATGTACAACAATAAATAGTATACTGAGATCATAATTCTAAAAGATTCTCAATCTGCTAAACCACCTTGTTCCTGGACAATATCGAAAAGTGAAGCTGTGGAAGTGATAGAATCCAAAGTAACAAATGTGGATACTTAAGTTGAAATTGTGTAAACACGTAAAGAGAGAAAGCCCATATTCACCTATTTCAGTTTTCATTAATTCCAGCCCCCCGCCCCCTGTAGATTTGAAATTTCAGGAGCCTTTAATAGTTAAGAACAAGGGAAGGATACCGGGGAATCCAACAGTAAGTGAAGTACGACTACCGCGTATTCATAGGGAGGGGGCTGGTGAAGGAAGACATCAGATATACCTTGACTGAGTAATGTATTATAAAGAGGGAGAGTAGAACAGGCTTCCGGAGTGACCTTGACACAAACGAGACAATTCACCACTTGTAGGAGTGTCTGCATTTTAGGGAGACGGAACAAGAACAGACAAGGTTGTATCCACGTGTTTATAGGGCTGGAAGCTAGCCAACTGGAACAAGTGAGGGAGGAATATAAAGATGTAAATGAAATAATAGTGGGCCAGATTATGTAGGCACCTGTAAATCAGTCCCTGCCTTCCCTTTTCATTCTTGAGTCTCAAGTATCGATTTTTCTTCTTCTGAACTCGGGGTCTAGAAAGACCATCCAGGAACATTCTTACCTTGTGAGAAGCCAGGAAGGAACACTTGAAGATGACTTGGATAACGAACACGAATTGTATTCAGATACAGCTTTGGCTCTGCTGATGTTTTTATTATTCACAGTAGTGAGATAAGGAAGCATGTCCCATTCAACTCAGTTTATCTTAGTCTCTTGTTAGGTGCCATCAAGTCACCTCTACCTCGTAATGACCCTCTGAGCAGATCTGAACCTTTCTCATGCCATCCTCACCACCTCAGCTATGCTAGAATCTATTGTTACTGTGTCAGTCCGTCTTGTTTGGGGCCTTCCCCTCTTTCTCTGACCATCTTTCTCAGCAGGATCTCTTTTTCCGAAACTGACCCCTCCTGACAACATGTCTAATGTGAGATGGAGTTTCAGCATCCTTGCCTCTAGAAAGCACCTTGGCTGTACTTTGACCGAGACAGACTTGGTTCTTTATCTATGGGATACTCAGTTCTCCAACACTGCATTTCAAAGTTACTGATTTTTCTTCTATCTTCCATTATCCAGCTTTCAGATACATAGGAGGGAGTTGAAAAGATCATGACTTTGATCAGGTGCACCTTAGTCTTTAAACTGACACTGACACTTTAGCCCTTTGGAGAATATACAACAGGTGGGCGACTAGCGAAGAGAGATTTATTTTCTCACAGTTTAGGAAGTTAGAAGTTTGTTTCATGACGCAGGCTCTCAAGGCTCTCTGCTCTTGGAGGGAGGAATCCCCCTCTCAGCTTCTCTACAAATGGCGGCTAGCTTCAGATTGGGTCAGTTGGGGGTCAACCCCCTGCTGAGAACTTGACCTCCCACCCCAGATACACAGAATCAAGCTACATTTTTTTTTCTTTTTCATATAGCCCTTGCGTGTCCACTTGCCATACAGAGGTAACTCGTGGTTGCTGTGAAGCTGAACAGTGTGACACTGATGTGTCAAATGCATAAATGGTTACCCATGGCAGACAGTGCTTGGTAATGCTCCCGATACAAACAATCTTGGAAGCAGGAGTGGCATCCACTTCCGTAACAGCTTACCTCCGGAAACCTGGAGAAAGGATGAAAGTCACACAAGTGTTGAGGACTTTTGTTCATAGGGTTGTTATGAGTCGCCTACGACTCGATGGCACTAAACAACAACAACAAATATATATAAAGTGATTGGTTTAAGACAGACTCTTAAAACACCTCAGGCCATGTGGAGTTATATATCCATAGGGAAAGGGGTGAGATTTACAGTATATTTGAGGACATAGTTTAATCCTTGACAATCTGCACCCATAATCATCAAGCTGGGGAGTTCATGAGAATCACCTGGGGACTTGGGGAAAGCCCACCAAAAAGAAAGCCCAATGTCCAGGCTGCAGACCAGACTGGTTCCGAATCCTGGAGGCTGGGATCCAAGCAGCAATAGTTTTGTTGTGTTGTCTTTTCCTGCTTTTTTTCAAAAAATTTATTTTCTTACAAAGTTTATATACATTGTGTTTTACTCTATCCTTCAATTACATTGTGCAGGAATAGTTTTTTTTAAGCTTCTAGATCATTCCAATGTGCAGCCAAGTTTGAGAACCACTTGTTGGACTGGATTGTTAAATGGTCCGCATTCCCACTGTCCCATCCAAATCCTGCTCACGGCATTCTTTGTCAGGTTCAAGATCAGGCACCAAGGTTATTATGCTAAGAGTCAGGAAGAGCTGAGTTGCCAGAGGCTTAACCATCACTTTATTGCAGATTTCACACAGGCTGCAGGGGAGTCTCAAGCCCTGCAGGACACACACAGGCAAACTCGTCACTGCAAGGACACTGAGACTTACCTGGAACTGCCTGGGGAACTGCCCCACCAAGTTCTTCTAGTTTGCAGAACAAAGGCGACTCCCTGCCATTGAATACACCACCGTGGACGGCTGGGAGAACAAACTGGTCTGTTTAGGAGAGGGTGAAACCAGGATGCTCCTTGGAGGCAAGGATTCTGAAGCTTCATCTGACATACTTTGGACATGCTACAAGGAGGGACCAGTCCTTGGAGAGGGACATCGTGCTTGGGAGGGTGGAAGGACAGAGCAGGAGAGGAAGACCCTTGATGAGATGGATTGACTCTGCCTCAGGTAATGGAGGTAGGTGTGTCAGAGACAGTAAGGAATGGCTCAGGATAGGGAATCAACTGGGGATTGGGGAAACCCCACCAAAAAGAAAGCCCAATGTCCAGGCTGCAGACCAGACTGGTTCCAAATCCTAGAGGCTGGGATCCAAGTAGCAATAGTTCTGTTGTGTTGTTTTTCTTTTCCTACTTTTTTTTAATTGATTTTCTTACAAAGTTTATATACATTGTGTTTTACTCTATCCTTCAATTACATTGTCCAGAGCTCTTGTACATAGGGGTGATAAGACAGCACATAACAACAACAACTTAGCACTCTGTGTACTTGCTGAGTTAAACAGAACGCAATGATCCTGCACAGCATAGCCGTGCTCACGCAGACATGGCTGCAGTCTGGCTACCCACCTCTTACTGTAAAAAAGGCACCTTGCAGGTTAGCACGTATCTGCCTGCTGGGTATCCACACCGCATTGGCACCCCTGCCAGTCATGGACTATGAGCAAACACTGCTGTGTAATAGTTTATGTGCAATAGTTTATTTTAAAGACTTTACATTTACACGTAGAAGCAACATATGTTAACTTGGGTAGGGTATAGCAAGAATTGGCGTCCAGAGGATAAAAAAAAAATGGGATCAATTGATTCCTTCACAGAAGATAAGCTTGTTGTGTAGCCGCCACGCTTGCCATTTGGTTTTGTTTCCAGTTCAGGCAGTTCGGATTCAGTGCTTGCTTCATTTACTGGAAAAGTGCACTTGGCCTAAATCTTTACTCCTTCCCCATAGCTTCCAGCTCTGCAGCAAACTGTGAAGAACAGATTGAGTCACCAGCTGCTACAGTAGATAAAATTTAAGAACAACACATGACAACAGCTCAGAATAAGACATACATTGCAAAGAGGTCTGGGGGTGGAGACGTGGGGATGGGGGGGTAATTGTGCAACAATGAATAAATAATAATTTTTTTTAAATGTCAATTGAGGGAGGTGGAAGGGAGGCAGAGGGGGAAAGGTGAAACAATTAATGAATCAACTTTACTGTAAACTTTCATTAATTATCACAATTGTTGTTGTTGATTGTCTTGAGTCAAGAAGGACTCATAGCGACCCTATGAACAAAAGGCCTGAAGCCCCTCTACAACTATCAAGATTTATCAAAGTTCATAGAGTCTCCGGAGGCATGTTATTTAGGAAGTGGATACTACTCCTGCTACCAAAAATCACAATTAAAATAGAAAATTTTATTTAAAAAAAACCAAAACAAAACAGCATTTTGAAATGTAAACACTTTTTAAAAACAACAGTCCAGTAAGCCAAGTTTTCAATACTTCCAAATTAGAGAAACTAACCATTTTAGTCAATGTTTCCTATGATCAAAATGTTCCCTTCTATGCATACATTTTAATGTATGCTCAAGTTCATAGAAGAAATGTGTCATAGCTATGATTAATTGTTAAGATTTAAAACTTCAGGGGTTTTGTAGAGTTGGGGGCGGGGAGAGGGAATCTACAAATACTGTCTGCTTTCTGGAATGGGAATTTAAAGGCTTCTGAACTTGAACATTGTTATTATTGTTACATACCCTGATTCAGAACCTACACACAGCTGGCTCTCCAGTGGGTTTTCAAACACAGTAAATCACATGGGATTAAAAGGCCTAAAACATTGCTTCTATTTGCAAGTTTAATATAGAACAAAGAACTTGCAAAGGGATTCTTTGGCCCTTGGACTAGTGGTCACTTATTGCATTGATTAGAGATCGTGAGTAAGGGACAGAGACAACAAAATGTTGATTAAAAACAACAACCTTAAGGCCTAAGACCTCACTAGGGCTCTCTGGTAGCAGTCTTAGGGAATTTTGCTGCAAACCCAAAGGCTGGGCCTCTCTAGGGTTTCGAATCCACCATTGCCTCTGAGGTGGAAGAAAGAGACATAGGTAATCTCCCATGTGATTTTGGGGCCCAAAAATCCAATGGAGGGTGAGCTATGAGTCCATGAAAAAGACAGGGAGAGGTATGGGAGACAATAAGTGCCCATCAACAAACAAATGGATAGAGAAGCTGTGGTATA